TCCAGTATTTTTTTTGTTTGTTTTTGTTGTTTTGTTTTGTTTGTTTTTTCATGCATACAAGCCTACATCTGGGGTCTCTCTTTTGGGGCTATGAGAAATGAGCTCAGGTTCTCTTTATGCTGGGTCCGTTATGCTGGGTGAGCACCTTCAGCCTGAAGGTAATAAAAAGGCAACAAATAATATAGAGAGTTCAATAATCTCCACAGCATCATCTTGACAAGTCTAATTCTGTTTTGACAGACTTGAGTGACAGCTCTGTCACTGGTGCCAAGAAGATTAAACTGAATGATGGTTCAGATGAGTCAAATTTGTTCGATTTGTTTATAAATATCAAATATAGCAGCTGCCTCTTGAATTTCTACAAGAAGTGAACGTTCTACTTTTCATGAAATTTTAGGCTTGGTCTTTAAAGCTGGGTGCATGTTGCTCAATTCAAAAACAGACAGGCAGCATGAAAAAAGTCATTTGTCCATACTGAGCCGATGTCTAACATAAGTCTGTCACCTGGACACCTGATACACAGTGAAGAGAACAGGCTCCTCCAGGATCTATAGCCCAAATGCCTAAGATTGTTGGTTGGGTAGGCATTTTTGCTGAAAATTCTGGAGTTCAGAAGCTGCTGCATACAGAAATAAAAGAAAAAATATGACACAGAAAAAAATCCTGCTGAAAATTTACCTTTCAAAGAGACTAAAATCAGAAGACTTTAAAAGTGCTCTGAGTAATCAGAGTGTAGAGAATAATGAAGAGGAGGGAGTTTAAGGCAAGCTAGTATAGCTGAGGCTGAACTTCAGAGACAGATCGCCTACTTAAAGTAGATTACAGCATACAGCATGTTCCAGTGACTTTCTGACATTTCATCTATCTTACTGTATGAGCTGCTTCCAGATCTATCCTTCTAAAACTCCCACTTCTGTCTCTACTTGTTTTTCACTTCCCTCCCCATTTGATGCATTCAAAGTTCTCCAGAGTGTTTCAGGAGACAAAAACCACCTGAGCAACTGACTGACATACTGGTTATCTGGATTTTAATATCAAAATATAGCAGTTCTTTGCATTAGTTCATTTCTGATCAGATTTTTTTTTATCTCAGATCCACTTGCATATGCCAAACTTTCCTGGTAACATCCTGAAAATAATATAGATGTTTTATTTTGTTAAAACAGTGAAATGCATTATTACCTCAAAGTCTTATGTCAACTGCTTCTAATAACAACACCACTACATTAAAATATATGAATAGAACTACAGATTTTAGGTGGTACCCATCAACAGCATGGCTCCTCCCTGGAATAAGGACTTCCCTTCATGCCCTAAATATGCTGATATTTATTGATACTTTTTACTTTAGACTACAGGAAAAGGCAAAAAAGAGATTACATCTGTCTACCAAAATATATATACCTCTGATGGTATGTAGTTTTGGGAGGAAGTAAAGAACAACTCCTGCAACCTCTCTGTCTCACTCTGGACTCAGGTAACGTTCTCTGGATTTTGTTGCTTAAGCGGCTGAAACCAGCACAATTGATCACTATTGAATGATCAGCTCCTGTATCTAAAACATGTTAGACTTTTGTTTTGTTCATGGAAAGTAGGATACAAGTCCTATACAAAACCTTGTTTATTTGTTGATACCCATAACAATCCCCATAGTTTTCAGGAAGATTTTCAGCATCCTATTTCCTAGGATATACACTAAACTGCTTCAGTTTTCAGAGTGCATTGATCACAGTTCTGTAGACTTCTTCGCGGCCTCCCTATCTCAGTAGGTTTTAATATATAACATTGTTTCCCACTTCAAAGGCTACTTTTTGGTATAAGGGACGATTTCCCCAAGGACTGACAATGCTTCTCCAAGACAGTTTAAAAAATACACTCCATACTTTGAAATAGGATTTTTCATTGTACTTGTGGATATTGGAACTCTAGAGAGGTTCCTCTACTATAATCTGCATACATAGAAGCTGGAAGAGTCCACTGTAAATTTAGGTTTAACTGGAAAAAAAGACAAGAAACTCAGTCTCATCTGGCTTCTGCTGGCAGAAGAGACTTGATAACTACATTTCCACTAAACTCCTTCAGCATCTTCACTCAGATTTTCCCCAGATAGCAAGGCAGCAAGAATGAGCTAAGAGCAGCAATTTTCATCATAAAATGAAACCTGTATAAAAGTAAATATTTATAAAATGCTTATAGCCAATCTTATAACAGAATTCAATATATATATATATTACTTTCTTCCTACAAAGTTTCATCAGGATAGAAGACAGAGGGGTTGTTTTTGTATTTTCTAACTACAAGGTATATCTCATAATTCAATTCTCAAACTGGTCTCTGCCATTATTAAAACTATAGAATTTTAAACTGCTAAAGCATTTTATTCCTGCTATGAATTCTCACACACGCCTGAGGAATGGGTTAAGAAGTAGGGAGGGAGATTTCTGACCATCAGAGATATGATTAATTGAACAAATGGCACCAATTATGTTATGTCTGTCTTCAATCTAACCTCAAACACATGAAACTTGTATACAGAATTCCCAATACCTGCTTCAGCCAAGAGAACTCTGATATATCTGAAGAGTGAAGTTTTCTTTGTTGTAGACAAAATGAATATGCTTGTTTAGACTATAAAGGTGAGAAAGAATGAAAAGATGGACTAGGTTACACATTCCCAGTGCCTGAGAAAAGAAAGCACTGTGCTGCATAACCTGGCAAACAGTTTTCCCTGATAAAAATAGGAATGCTTTTGATGTGTTAGGGTTATTTTTGGGTTTCTTCAATTTATGTGTCTTTAAATCCTTTCCAGAGTTAGTCTATATTGAAATAGCTCCATAAGGAGTTACAAATTTCAAACATTCTTTATATATTATCATCATTATAAGATTAAAACCTCTGTGTGTTATATAGTCAACTATATAGTCAAGATGCTAAGATTTCTGGATAAGATGCTGCCTGGATAACAGAAAAGAATATGAGAAAACTGAGGTTAAAGATCAGATTAATTCTGGGAAGTAGTGTGAAGAACTGAAATGTGTCAACCATGTCTGAGAAAATACAGCAAAAACAAGCCTGGAGAATATTTATGCAGTCTGAAGTCATAGTGCCTCAGTCACATCATATTTTTTCCAAAACATCCAGACACAAGTAACCTAGGGAAACTAAAGACAGTTTAGGAAATGCCCCAAGTTGCGAAGAGTTAGACACCAGGAGACTGCCCACAGGAAACACCACTCTTAGAATCATAGAATATCCTGAGTTGGAAGGGACACACAAGGATAATTGAAATCCAACTCTTGGTCCTGCACAAAAATTCCAACATGTGCCTGAGAGCAGTGTCCAAATTCTTTGTGAACTCTGGCAGGCTTAGTGCTGTGACTTCTTCCCTGGGGAGCCTGTGCCAGTGTTCTACTTCTTCCTATTGCAGAGGGGGAAATGGGCAAGACCAGCCTGATTCTGAAGTGCAAAATAACCAAATACAAATACATGCAGGTCACTGGCTTTTGAGGTGGTTTCCCTGCAGCCAGAGTAAGCCATGTCAGGCTGGTTGTTAAAGGCACCCTCAAGTGCTTTCCTAGAAAACAGAGCTGGGATCCTGCCAGCTCTTGAACCTGCAAATGGGAACACTCAGATGATACCTGCTGCTCCCTATCTGTGGAGCTCATCGTGGAAGGGAAGTCATAAATACCTTTTCAAATTTACAGCATGTGGCAAAAGATGGGACTCTTGAACTGAAATGGTTTGAATAAATATTGTCCTCTGCATCAGGGCTAAGTGGTTATGAATTGCCTGCTAAAAGTGCACTTAGAGCAGACCTGTCACAGTGCTGTATCTAACCATGAGCACAGCAAAGGCAAGGGAAAAGTGCTTCCCAACCCTACATTCCTTACAAAATCAGCTTAATCCTGCCCAAGATTCCAGCTCCCACCCTCCTACCTGCTGCCAGTAGCATCCCTGCTCCTGCTCAGAGGGTGGCAGGCACCCTGAGGGACTGCAGCCAGTGAAAGCATGTAGGGCTAAGCTACCCTTCAGAGCAAAGGCTTTGGGAGCTCCAGGATCGCCAGGAATACATCTAGGCATTGATGCCATGCCCTACAGCTAGGAAAACTATTCAAAACAATCTAAGTAGCAGGCCACTGCACAGTAGCCAACATATTCATTCCATCAAAAACAAATTAGAGTTTTTATGTTTGAGTAGCAGAAATCAACTGAAGCGTGCAAGAGAACTCAAGCTAAATTAGAGGGAAATAATATGTTACTTCAAACAAAATAAATTTCTCAGACTTCCAGTAAAACCTGAACTATGCATGCTACAATTGAAGGAAATTTTATTTACCCTCAAACATTTTCAAAACCAGGACATTTTTTTAAATGACAAAACGTAAAACTTTGTATCATTTGGATTATAAATACAAGTGAAAACAAGAGAAAACAAGTGAAATTTACGAGTGAAAACATATTTCAGTTCAAAGCAATGTATTTGACTACAAGTACTGAACAATTATGAGGAAGATATTATGGTAAAATACACCCAGGGATAGTTAAATAATTCATCCCAATACCTTGCATGATATTAAAAATTTATTTTCTTACCACTATAAAGTATGGTATCTCAAATATAACCACTTAAGTACTTTCTTTACATACCTGTATCACTTATAGAACAAAACAGAATTGTTTTTGCCTTAAAAATTAAGGCCTACATTCTACTACCTAGAACAGTAGATTAGGATTTTTTCCCCATAAATCAAGTGTAACTATTCATGTACACTTAATTTAATAATACATTTAATTTCATTTTCTATGCAGATGTATGAAAATAAAACACTATGTTTGAATGGACTGCTACCAAGTTCCCTACAGTTTTTCCTGCAGCATTACAGTTCACACAAACAGCTTTGACCTATGCACCCTAAGAGCAAAAGCAGCTATAAGCTCTCCTGGCTTCTATTCAAAGTTTTTAAAAAGGAATATTTCTTCCCTTTTCAAAATATTCTTACCTCTTCCTTTGTCTTTTTTGATATGACCCTTAGCCAGTCTCCAATCATGCTGAGGACAGCTGCGAAGTAAGCAAGCCCAACAAGGATCCAGAACCACACCACTGGCTTATAGAAATCTAGGTATTCAATATCTGATCCCCCTGAAAAACAATACAGTAAAAATTAATTCACACTTAATAGCTATAGGTGCAAAGACGTTTTTAAATTAATTTTCCTAGGAAAAAGAAATTTAAGTTTCTTACACATTCTGTGTTTTTACCCATGCACAATATATTTTTGAATTTGAACAAATTATATAAATTAGTTCACTCTTAAAAGTAATGTCTGGAGTTTGCAAATTTTAGACAAAGATTGTTAAAAATCCATAATAATTATGGAATAAACACAAAATGATTCAACTTCTGATACACTATCATTTAAGACAGAGGTCACTGAAGATGGCTTGAATGAAATTACTTGCCACCTGCTCCAAAAAATGATTCTGTACCAGAGTTTTAAGTATTGTTCCAAAGAATGCAATGTCTTCATATCTTGAGAAATCTGTTTTAGCAAGAACCTTAAAACATCTCAATACTTATATAAAACCTTTAGCCTCAGTAAAGACAGAGTAGCACCTGCATTAACAAGTGTCCCTGGTGGGTAGGCAAACATTATCATCTCCAATCTGCAGAAGGAAACCAGAGTGCAGGGACTCGAGCTGAACTATCATACCCTTGGCCAAAATAAAAGGTGGATAAAAAAAGCCTGCTGAAGGCAAATTATTTGAATCCCACTGTCATAAGCACTAGTCATTTCTTTTCAGTGTTAAAGTATAAAAAAGTATACATTTCAGAGGTGCCTGTAATAGAGCTTTGAGGTATAATACAGCTATAAGGAACAGATGCCTTATTTCCACACAAAAATAAGTTATGTTCATCCAGAGCTCTTGACAGCACCAAATTGCTCACATTTCACATCTTGCCATGCAATAAAACAGAAGCCATAAACTTGTAATTCAGTTGTGTTACAACAAATAAAACCAGACTTCTAGTTTGGGCTGCTGCAAGAAGTTTGATGTGTGTATCTGCCCATGATTGAAGAGACTCTACAGCAAAACCTTCTCAGGCACATTAAAGTAGCCTGTGCAGGTACATAATACTTTGTTTTATGTATCTGCATCCTATACTGAAGTAAATCAAAGGAAAGCTGGCCCCAAAATATCAAGCACGTTGTTACGGTACTGAGATTGACTCTCATAGGGAATAATGATTTTATTTATTATCAGTGAGATTTACATGCAAATAAAAAAGAATTTTACTGATGGCTATCTTTGCATGGAACCCCTCCCAGACAGAAATTTTATTTTCATGTCAATTACACCTTTTCATAAAAAAAAAAAAAAAAACCAAAAAAAAAACCCCAAAAAAACACCATTGAGCTGCAATGGTTTGCTCGGCTATCCAAGAGATGAATCCACATTGTGAAAGCAGATATCCTTTGATGCCTTTGCAGTCCCAAGCAGAGGTAGAAGTCAGGGCTCTGTTTGGAACAGAAGGCATCCAGCCACCAAAGGGGCTGAGTTTGTCACAGCACAAGACAAACAAAACATTAAATCATTTGTTAACAACATCCATCTCATGTCAATCTAGTAAAACAGTATTTTAGGGATGATTCACCCAAAATTTGTTGCAATTCAAAAAATGGCTGATGACCTCCATGTCTTTCCTATAGTGATAGGACACTCTTGGTGGTTCATGCTCTTCTTCAGCTGTTCATACAACGCACAAGGAAATTTCATAAAAAGAATCTACATGGTTAGTTTTTAATTTTTGGCATATTTCATTTATAAAGTGAAACCTTACTCTGCCAGTCTGCAGGAAGCACTTCCTTCACAGTTTATAATTGTTTTATTTACAGCAAAATTAATCACTGGGGCAGGAGTTGAACATATTCATGTTCAACCAAGTTTTCTGTGCTGTCTGGCCAGGAGATGGCTCCATCTAACCATGCCCAAAGAAGCTCAACTCTCCTGGAGCTGAAGGGACAACAGGTATCCAAATAAATACTCTAAGATAAGACTTCAAAGCTAGAACCTTTATTAGCTGTTGAGCTTCTGAATTTCAAGGACTCTTTGGATGATTTTGCAATTTAATCAAATCTCAAGGGAGAGAGACATACCTGAGAGTGTTTGTCCTGACATAACTATCTCTTGTGATGCTCAAGCTGCCATAATGAAGCTACCTGGGAATGTCATTAAAGAGGATTTCATAGAGAAATGTGATCACAGCTCAACTGTACTGAATATAAACTACAAAAATTCACTAACAACTGAATTCACTGAAATGGGAATGAATGCATTTGGGTGTGAGTACGCGTACCTAAATGTATTTGAACTGAAATATATGAGATCATCTAATGATTTTATGGGCAACACCGCAAAAAGCATATCAATGTGATACACTATCAAGTTTCGTTTTCAAAGCAAATTGGATCATGCAGCCCTCTAAGAAGCAAAATGCTGAGAAGGCAGAAGATTAAGTTTGTTGCTTGTTTGGCAAATCCAGTTTTGTGGGCTGAGGGACAAAGCTTTTCCCAGCTTTCTTTAGCCTCTCCCCAAAATAGGTTAAAACCACAATGAAGAAGAAATCTAGCAGCCTCACTGCTATAATCTGTTACCACGAGCAGCCACAGTTTATTGCCAAGATGTTTTCTGGTAAAGATTTGATCTAAAGTTGCTTGAAGACTCTGCGAAATCAAAGTTTTCCCATCCATCGTCATCACAGGCTATTGTATTGCTGCTGCCATCATTCTTACATCTGCCAAATAAATTTTATTTGGGATTTTCAACACTTTGGAAAACATAAGTTGTTCTATGGCCCAAACATATTCCTTACTAAGGTCAATAACTCTGTTTCAGTAAAGAAAGGCATCAGTGAATATCTCGGGCATACTTTAGAACAGATTCCGGTTCTCAGGTAAGAGATCAGGGTTACAAACATATTTTTTTTACTTAATTATTTATGTAAAACAAGCTCCTTTGAAAGTAAATAATTGTCTTCATTGTTACCCCTCTTTTTTTCTCATTCTTTCTAAAGTAACTGGCTCAAAATAGAAATATGTAATTATTTCTATAAAGTTGGTTGGCTTTGCATTTTTACTTCAAAATTAGAAGGAGAGAATAGAAAGTGCTGTCAACATCGAGTATCTTAATTCCATACCAGCAAAAATTTCTGGGTTATTCAAAAGTTGGCACTGCAAACAAGGAAATGTCTATAATTTTTCATCAGCAGTAAAAATTACTCCGGATATAGAAAAATTATATAATCCAGTTTTAATTGCAGAATAACAAGTAGCTGTCCACCATTCCTGTTGTGACAAACCTAACACATTTAATCTAGAAATATAATTCATCCCACTCCAAAGAAATATGGAGTTCAGCCCTGCAGCTTGAAAGCAATTACCTCTGGGGACTGCAAAAAAAGGGGGGACAGAGAAAGAGTAGCTCGTGTGGCAACATGGAAATGCAGAATGCTGGGGTCAAGATAGTATTGCACTGTCAGAGATGGAATGTAAGTAGGCCAGAGAAGCTACTTGATGCCACTCAGTGAAAAATGGAGAGCTACTTCAGAAAACAAAGCACAGATCTAAAACAATCCTCACTGGCTGTCCTGCACAGACATCCAGCAAGCCAGTGCTCCATCTTCAGCTTAAAGCACAGCTCACAGCAGAGCCCCTATTACAGACACTGAGTCCTGAGGGGGCAAAGAGCTCTTCCAAATATCAAAAATGGTCTTAGAGTCTGTGGGAGGGCACAGAGCTCTCCTCCAGGATGCTGGACACGCCTCTGGCTCAGCACGACAGCGATTTCTCTCTGCTGGTGCGTGGTATCACACAGTGACAGCAGATCAACTGGGCTGCCGTGACCACCAGTCAAGTGCCCCAGTTGGGTGACACTAAATGAGACTAAAATATCTCATTTCTCTACAAACTGGGTCTCAGGCCAAGCAACAGAGTGCAGAGCCAGGTATGTGTATCACAGCGGTGATACGTCAGCATTGATAACAGAATGAAATAGTGGAAAAGCATTAAATTAAAAAGCAGGGTTTAAACATGGAAAGTAAACCAACCCCAAAAAAAACTCCCACAAAAGTAACAAGAATTAGAATACATTTTTAAAGTGACACTTTCAGAATTCTGTGATCCATTTTAGTAATGTGTTGAGACAACCTTACATCATCATTATGCCCCACTGTGAAAGAGACTACTAATATGTTATTTCTATTATTACCTTCTACTTAATTTAGTCGAGTTTTGGATGTGTCACCTTATTTAGGTTTGAAACCTGCTAGAGTAATGCCATTAGAAATATTTGAATATACTTTCCAAACTGCACTGCAAATTAAAGAATTTATCTGTACATGTGAACAATATATTTTCAAATAGACAGATACATTCATGTGCCTCAGTGCTCACCTTAGTACCCAGAAATATATTTCATTGTACTGAGATCATGATACATTCAACATGAGAAGATTTATTTTTCATAAGATATTAATAGTTTTGGTTGGGTTTTTGTCTGTCATGTTAAAGTCAATGTTTTCTCTTGAAAACAAGAAAATGGATGTTTGACTATGTCCTGATATTTATAAGGCAGTGCAAGCTGTAGCACAGTTTTTCTTCTTTTTTTTTTTTTTTTTTTTTTTTTTTGCAAAAAGCTACAATAATCTTTCTTCAAATTAAAAAAAAAAATTCTCTCTATCCAAAAAAAGTAAAACCATTCCAAAATTTGGAAAAATCAAATAATTTCATAAGATGGAGAAGCAGTCAATTTTTTTGGAATACTGTTGATATATTTTCTTGGACATGAATTACAAGGGCTTTTCATCTTTTCCTTCCTTGCATCCACTAGGAGTGATCAGTCTATTATGTTTTCCTTAAGGCTTCTCTTGCTGATGGAAACCCTGACTTTAATTTCCACAGGCTTCAAATAACAACTTTGTCTCTAACTAGCAAAGGGAACATTTCTTACTTCTGGTTGCTGTGAATAGAGTACATGGCCTGCAGGACAAAAGAGAAAGTTCTAAAAAAAATCCTGGAGAACTAAAAGAATTTCTAATATGATAGCCTGTACTATAGGCAAAGATACCATTCCTGAATCTCATGTTCAGCTATGGGCTCCCTTTAGGTACAGTATTGAGTAACACTCTGTTCTTTACCTCCTGAAAGTTCTTCAGGGCTTCTTTACAGCTGTTACTTGCAGTGGCAGCAGAAAGCAGCAAGTTTAGTGTTAATAAAAAATTATGAGTATTTCAGAAACTTTCCCCACACACCAACACATAACACAGCCATGGGATTATGTGGGGCTTGTAAAATTACAGTTTTTTTTCTCTGAGATGGCAGTTGCCAGAAAAAAAGATCTGAAAGTTTTCAAATATAGCAGAATTTGAGGGTTTTGAGGGAACTTTATGGGTCAAAACTGACACACATATATGGTTTATCATGTGGACCTCCAGAGTGCTAAAAGAATTATCAATTTTACTTTTACTGCAGGAAGTACACTCTAATGTAATTGCAAATCAGAGCATCATTGCCCACCATTATGCTTTAAGTTTGACTATAATGCTAAGTGGAAGAAGGCAATTTTCACTTTAAGTGTTATTTAAGGAAAGAAGCCAGAAAAATTAGTAAATTAATGCCAATGTGAGGAGTTTTTTGAAATGTGTTGCATCTAGGCACCAAACAGACTGAAGCATCATTCTGTCTGCTGGTTTTTGCCTCACCATGGCAAGCCAGAACCAAGACTAGCATGTTCTAGAACCACAATATGACCGCCTCTTTTACAGTCTTATACAGAATTACAGGTCCCAACTCTTCATGTTTCTCCCTTGTTTGTGACACCCAGCTTTGCTAAACTTCAAGGAGAGTTCTCCAGACAAAGCCTACCACAAAAATATCAGTGGTCCTCAATGTCCACTCTGTAGTTATGACTTACCTAAAAGAGAAATAAGAAATCCAAAAAATCATGAAGAAAAGGTCCTAATTTGTTGGGGTGCAAAAAATTCTGCATACTTCCTCAAAAATAATAAGGAAGCCTGGCTCTTAGAACAAATTCTATCAGCTCCATTGAGACTTGCAATGTCAGTTTCCTTCAAATAATTTTGTACCTACATACACACCACTGACTGAAAACTTCCACAGTACAAAGCTCAATCAATTAATACCTTACATATTTTTCAAAATTTGTATTTAACCAGTCAATTATGTGCTTCAAAGAAAACAAATGAACACTTTTGAAAAATCCTTCAAGTCACAGGCCAAAACTAGAGTATTTTAGCTCACCCAAAGATGATGATATCAACTTCACCCCTGTCAGAATATAGTCCCATGGGAATGTTAACCTCCCAGTTATGATGGAGACAGTCATTTAACCCTGCTCTCTTGAGCATTGTCTCTGCAAGTACAAACCCCACTGCCCCTCTAAGTCAATAACATTGCAGTTCAAATACAAGTCTTATGCGCATTGCTCAAAGAAACTAGAAAACATTTCTGATGCTTTGACATAATGGACTTACAGTAGGATTTTAAATTAAATAAGGAGCATCTTTCAAGTGAACCATAAAAGGCCATCAGCTATAGAACAATATAATTCAAGGACGTTCTGTAGAAAGGGAAAGTGTTTCCTGGTAGAATTTAAAAGCAGACAATGTAGGGAAAAAATCATGATATCAAATGGTCTACAAATAGCAAAGTCTATGGAAATTTATAATGGGAGTAATGATGAATGTACTCAGTGTTCTAGTTAGAGTCAAGTGGGCCATTTCACAAAATGCTTTACAGTAAATATAACCAGGCCTTTATACACTATCATTTTTATTCCCTGTCATACACGTACCCTTCAGGAATGAAATTCTAAAGCACCCAGATTCTTGACTTAGAAACAGCATAAATTTTTTATTTTATGTTCATTGTTATCTGACCAGAATCACAAATTCTGAAGACAAAATGAAAATAAGAAAAAGAATACAGGAAAGAAAATGGAAAGGTAGAAGTCAAGACACATACAAAGATATTTGGAAACATCACAAATAACTATGTAAAAGTAAAAAGAAATTTGATTTGCTATTTTACAGCTCAGTTCTATAATTTACAGGAATCTTTGGCAAGTTTGCAAGCAGTCTAAAAATTAAGGCTGCCCGAGTAGCTTAGTATCTTCAACAACTAAATTAACCCCCATTTTACCCACATAATTGACAAATATGTCAAGCAGTTCCAGCACTTGAGAGGTCCTTGTTGGACCTCACCAACCTGAAAAACTTCTGCCAGTGACAAGACCCTTTACTGCCATCAAGGCAAAACTTCAGGCACATCTACAAGAGGAGTTACCCAACCTGAGAACCTCAGCTTGGCACACTTGGACTCACACAACAGCCATGGGCACAGACAAGGCACAGAAGGAGCCCAGAGCATGTGAGTGTCTACTAAAAGCAATTCCCTCCAGCAGAGCCTCTAACTGAGATGTACCAGCACAAAGGGCTTTGTCAGCCACCTCTGCCTTGCACAGAGTTCAGAGGTGGGAGAGGCATTTCATCAAGGGGATGATAGTTCTGTACCAGCAGAAGCATCAGATCAGGCCAAGGAAAACAAGTCTCAGGTTTGAAGCACAAAGCTCTGAGTTCCTCATCCTCACCTCTATACATCACTGATTCAGATCAATGTGCTTTCTCAGCACAGACAGCATATACTTACTCAAATTAAGAAGTGAACTAACACCCCTGACATCTTTTCAAGAAAAAAGTTGACACAGAGAACTGGCCCAGACTTTTTTTTTTTTTAGCTCAGTATATCAAAGTTATTTACAACTAATTCAGCTTAATGGAACCATAAAAATTGGACACGTTATCTACGGGTTGTGCTAAAACTTCTCCTGACATTGCAAAAAGCACATGGGCAAACGTCTACTGACAAAGAGTCACAGAATAAGATGCAGCAGATCCTACAGAATACAGACATTTCAATGGCAGAAAGAGAGCTCTGGAATACTTTCAAAGTAAGGGATGCACACAAAATTTATATCACTTCACAGGGTGAGGCTGAAAAGAGGTATTCAGAATAAAATTATCTAATAGTGCTTACACTCTGTAACCTGTAAGAAAAATAAAACAAAACCCTTACCTAAATGATACTCTACTTTTTTTTAATAGGATAGGAAGAGAAAAAAAAACAGTAGGCAGAGAAATGCTCCATGAATTTCACTGTCCCACCTCCTGTCTCTGCACTGTCACCTCAACCAAAACGAGGACAGCCCCATCACATAAATGATAAAGGATAAAACTGGGAGAGAGGCACCACACAAAAGAAATACATCTGTCCCAAAATCAAGGAAAAAAATGCAGAATAAATATCCCTGTGCAAAACATTATAAGACAAAGAGTTATGAAAAAGTGCTTACCTGCAACATAGTCACCAAATCCAATGGTAGTTAAAGTGATAACCACAAAGTAAATTGCATCTAATGTGTTCCAGCCTTCTATGTGCTTGAATATAACTGCAGGAAGAGCAACAAACAGCACGCAGCCAAACAGTATGAATATTATTGTTGAAATGATGCGAATCTTTGTCTGACTCACATTCCATTTCTGGAGAGGGAAGGGGAAAGAGAGGAAACCCATTGTTAATAAAAATGCACCAGTGCACATCAGCACCCATCACCCCACAGTGTGCACTACATAGCTCTAGAGGACACCGCATTACAATTCTCTAACAAACGGGAAAATTCAAGCAGGATTTTATTCTGAAAAGGGTTTCAAAGCAAGCATGACTATCCTAGGAAACATTTGCCAGCAGTAAATGCAGAGCAGAGCTGGACTCTTTATGGGTGAGCAGGATGTATAGCATTGAGTAATGCTAACAGCTGATGATGCAAAAGTTTTGAGGGCTGTCTAGATATTCGAGTGAGTTACAAGTACTGCATGCACCTGCAATTTCTCTTATTTCATAGATCCACAATTAACCAACTAAATAAGGTGAATTTTAATCCTACAGTTATCTGCAATCAAATAATCAGCTGAACCAAATCCTGCAAAACAGAGCTGGAAGGGATGTAGAGAGCCAAACCTGCCCAAGGACAAAACAAATGCACCTAAGCCACTGCAAATACATGACTGGCCAGGCAACGTTTGTTCATGCTCTTGTCATCTGATAATTTTCCTAATGCTTCACCTACATCTCAGCTCTTTCTGTTTAAGTGTACTGTTTATGGTCTTATCCAAGACAAATACTGAAACTGTTAATTTTCTATTTCCAGCAAATTTTCACAGGTTCTCTCTTTCATGTTACATGTTCTTTAAACCAAATAAATTTATTTCCTCTTCTTCCCCTTCCTATTTTTCTTGCAATCCCTTGGCACTAGCAAACTAGCCCATGTTACAGTAAGTGTTGTACTCAAAGGTATATATGAAAAAATAGCACAAAATGGAATGGAATGAGTCTTTCTTATGCTTTGCCTATTTTCCATGGCAGTATAACATTAATCCACATTAACTTCTAGAGTCCACAGAACATTTCCATAGAATTGCACCTAGACAGATGTTTCCTGACATGTAGCTACATATTTTATTATTCCTTCATATATTACTTTGAATTTGTCCTGCTTAAATTTAATCCTAGTCAGACTGCTTTTCAAAAATTTTAAGATCATTTTGATCCTCCAAGTTTTAGTTGTCTCCCCAGTTTGAGACCATCTGCAGATTTAATGAACCATGTCATTTAGCTGTTGTGTATGCTATTAACATTTTTTTCCTAAACTGCACTAAAGCTAGAACAGACCCCTGCAAAATTCCATTTTGCTTGCCCAGCCAATTTGACATTTGCCATCCATCTAATGCATGTCAGTTCAACCTAAAAGAGGGGATTGTACAAGAAACTTCCACATAAATCAAGTAAATATGAAATCATGTTGTTCACAATGGATGTTTTCTTGTTTTTAAGTTTCAGTGGGAACTGTGTTTACAGTCAGCATGACCAAGGTCATGCTTTTGTAACCCAAATCATAGTAATAGCTTGTGTTGTGGCAACATAAAAATACCTGCTCTGGCCATCAGCATCTCCCAGTTCTTTAGGTAAGCTAATAAAGAGAATTAGAGAGTGTTCCAGACTGCAACATCTAGATCAGTGTTTTCACTCAGATATTGTCAAAAGAGGGGATGATACTGCTTTTTATCTTGGGGCATTCTTCTTGTAGTGATACATCCAGTATGAAAAAAAAAGGAAAATTATTTTCTCTACGAGGAAATGAGAGGCACAAATTGATCTCAGAACTTCTATACCTTTAAGAAAAAAAAAAGCAGCTATGAAAACCAAGAAATTATAAAATGTTCTTATGGAATGTTCTTGCCTTTTTCAGGCAAATCTCAATGGAAATCTATGTTATTCACCAGTACATTGTCTGGACATGAACTAATGCTTCAAAGCCAAAAAATGCATGTCTTTTCTTAAAAAGCTTTCAAGCTTGTGTTTACCTATTGTTTAAGACTACTTAGCACAGGCCCAGTTTGCTTTGCATGAAAAACAAAGCCATGTCAGACCTTTTCTATAAAGAAAAGGTGTCCTGAATACAGAGGCAGGGCTTAATGTGTAAAACCAGTCCTAACCCTTGCAGTGCAGATGCAAACAGCAACAAAGTTACTAAGCATTCATTGCTTCAAAAATCTCAGTGAATATATTTCTTATCACAACCTATATAGAAACCTGTAAAGGTAAGCATCACAGCAAGCTTATGAGTAACAAGGACAGAGCAAAACCAAAATTCTTTGGGTCTTATTCCTCTTCCCAACCATAACCATGGTAGGGAATGTGTCTTCACCCAGTTCTGAGAGGTGTTCATTAGCAAGTTCAGACTGTGCCAAGTCCTTCCTACCTTTCCTGTACATCTGATTGCAGCAATGAGCTATAGCTGTTTTTCAGACTTTTCATTTCTCTTGTGAGATTCATAACAAGCAGCAAAACAACCAAACGAGGCAGTCAGCATACTCACAACAAAGGTATCTTCTACTTTGGCAATTCCTTTTCCAAAGATTGTCCCTAGTTGATCTCCAACACCAGCCAAGAGAAAACCAAACAGAGGAATTCCCAATAAGGCATAGATGATACAGAATATCTTTCCACCTTGTGTGCGTGGGGAGATGTTTCCAAAGCCTAAATTACAAACAACTTGAGATGTTTAATAGGTTACACATAATACATTATAAGTTTTAAAAGAACTGTGAGAACAGAACAGTTAAAAACAGGCTAACCAGGTTAACTATATGACACAGCAAACATTGTGAGAAATTAAATGAAAATGTAGGTCATATAACCCCCTTTGAGCTACTCTCTTATCATCTACTACATGTAGTTATTAGCAATTGGTTGATCTATGCCTTAGCCTGACAGTGTTTTACTGTGCATTTAACAGGCTGCAGCACCTGTAAACTACACAGGTGTAAACACAGCACCTGTAAATGACACAATTTTCCTTTACATGGGCTAAATTTCAATGCGAACCACTGAAAAACCCAGCCACTTGGATGAGAAAAACAGGGATTTCTACCTTAAATGGGTCTGCTTAGATTCTTCATTATTAAAGGCTTTGAGTGCTTCAAACAAAGCTTGGAGATACAGTTCATGGCTCTGTGCATTTGAAAGTGGAAATCATTTTGTCTTCACAGGCTTGTGTAAAGAGCACCCAAAGTTTGTGTGATGGCTCAACTGCAGCTGGTCCACTCAGAAGAGAGGAAGTGAAATACAAAGAGCACAGGACCCAGCACCTGTGGAATGCCCTCAGTACATCTCCCAGGACCAGTCATTAATGACTTGGACAAGGCCACAAATGCAGAACCCTACAGACAAGTTTCATGAGCTTAACTCCTGAGTTTGAATTAAAACATTTTTCTCCTCCAAAGGATCAGTCATGTTTTGAGGGAACAGTAGCAGTAACACCCCAGAATTTCTGACACTATTTCACTTTTTAGCAGAACAACATGCCCTTCAAAGGAGGCAAGAGGGAAAACTTGTCATAAAAAGATCTATCTTTAGAAATTAGACAAAAGCTTCTTTTAACTTTACCTTCTTGATAGAAAAAATAACTTTCAAATAAAAAGCAAAGTGGTTTGGCATATAGTTGAGAAATTTGTCTTAGTGTCTTAAATTTTTCATAAGAAAAACATCATATGCACACAAATCTCCCAAAGAAAATCCATTTTTCTGGAAACAATCCAACAAATTTTATTTTTAAAGTAGCTTAACATTTTTTTCACAACCTGACAAAATTCCTACAATATAGAGCGCATTTAATGAATGTCTCAGCTATTTATCAGCATTTGTATTTAAACATTCTGAGCATGATGGTTTAACATGTAGATTTTCTTTATGAAACCTATTATCTGAATTTCTGGTTCTGCTCCCATGTAGGTAAGCTACACCAAAGCTCTGTGGCTAAAATTACTTTTTCCTTTCAGAACACACAAGACAAAGCTGTCCCTTACTTAACTTGGAATGGATTGCTCAGAGAAGCTGCAGATGCTCCATCCCTGGAAGTGTTCAAGGCCAGCTTGGATGGGCAATGTGATCTACTATAAGTTGTCCCTGTCCATAGCAGGGAAGTAAGAACTGGATGATCTTTAAGATCCCTTCCAAAACAGGACATTCTATTATTCATTAAAATAAAAATAAATCACACTGGGAATATATTTTATCCTGATAATAGATATGCAATATTGATAGAATTCAGTATGAGAAAAGAAAGTTGATATTTAAATTTTCCCTAAATCTTGACTTATAAGCATTGTCAAACAAACAAACAAAAAAAATCACAGGAAATATCAATTACAGGTTGCAGAGTCATTTAGTTTTGTAAATGTTCCCTGCACTAGTATATGAAAGAAAGCCTGATTCAGAAAACTGGGCAAGAGTCACAGCAACTTTACACCAACCCAAAATGCTTCCCTAAACCAGACTCAGGGCTAAAATTATAATTCAGGAAATTTCAGCTCCTCTGAGTTCACTCTGTCCCTTTGTGCACCAAGGAGTAAAGTTTTAAAATAAAATTAGCTCATCACCAATCAAAAAGGGACAAACAGATCCAAGCTACTCTGTTTTCATAAACATGCCTGTTTATGCATCAACAGAAGCTTGAATTGTTCCAGGTTATAATTCCTGGGAGGTCTTAATGCAATTCAGAATCAGGGGCCTGGATACACCAGATTTAGAAAACTCATGCTAGGGGATTTGGCAGTCACTTTTTATTTACTTCTCTACAAAAGAAATGTCTCACAATGGTGACAAAACACCAGCCCAGTGGAGCACATGCCAAGCAGGCAGTTTTGCTTGGATGGCCCCATAAAACAGGCACTCTCTGTGAGCATCCCAGAGCTCTTACAGAGGCTGCTGCTCTGCAGTGTGCTTCTCATCTGCTGCTAATTGGTATGAGGACACCAAGTTCACACTCAGCTCTGGGTGTTCTCCCAAAATCAGACTTATGTCTTCCTTAAAGGAAGGACAGTAGTTCACTTTTACCCTCAAATTCTTGTTTTTCATCCTAAAAACTGTCAAATGCTTTCCTTCCATAAACACAGAAAAGGTATTGTGTGATAATTGCATTATTAAATCACACATTACTGGATAAAATAACACTCCACCAGGTAGCAGTTTATTTCTGTCCGAATGCTCACTGAGCATAACACAAACCATGGGTAGGGTACATATTTAGTGACCTGATCTACCAAGGGGTTTCCATCACACATTAATCACATTTCCTACTGTGTCATGTTTTATAACAGTCTGCTGCTGTACACCACAGCCTACTTTGAGAGTTACACAAGTTGTCCTTAAATCCTTCTCTCATCTTCTCCAGTGAAAACCTAATCCATTATTTATACAACGGGAGAGAAAACATATTTATATTTCATATGGTTGATGTAATTCCCAAGAGGTTTGTGTCAGAAAAGAATTCTTTCTTTCTTTAAATAATTATAATAAAGACAAAAAAGGAGAATTCTGTTGCTAGGTAAAAACCAAGGAAACCTTAATTCTGGGCACTATGCTGGGAGAAGAGAACATGGTCATAGGAATTCCACAGCATATCCCTGTGTACCACAGAGCTCCTGCATGTGGAGGGCAGGAATATCTGCAGTATATGCAGGAATATACTGCCAGTGCAGTAGCTCCCTGGCATATTTTTACTTCAGAATTCCCCTTTCCACTCAAGAGGCAGTATAAAGTCTGGCTAGGACTGCCTTGCTCACAGAGAAACCCGAAACAGGGGAATCAGCCACATGGCAGCACTGTCTGCTGCCCTTTCCCTGCCTCAGAGCTCCTTGCTTGGATGGGATGGGGACAGGATGTGCACACTGCACCTGCACAGGCAGCCTCAGTGCCTTGCTTAGCCTTCATATTTTCAGTCCTGTGCAGATCATCCCTTCCCCTGTTTCCGAGGGGGAAATTCCTAGAACTGGTCCATTCCCCACTTCAACGCAATGTACTTGGGTTTGATTGTGGAAATTAACAAGTTACTTGATTTAAACTTCTAAACTCATTGGAAGTCTTCTCTCAAAGCTTTTAATCAATGCTATCTGCCATGAGCAGTACAGAGTACAAAATTTAACTTGCCAAATGAGATCTGTTTCATCCAAAATACTGTCAGTATCCTTTTCAGACTGTCCTTCCCTAATGCAGCCTCCCCACTTCACTTTCATAATCAGAAGGATGATTTGCCTCCTAATTTCACCAAATCCCTTTCATGTTCTGCTAAATACTTAGTATGCTTTTAATGAACAAAGGACTTGTCTCTGACAAGCAGCTGTGGACAAGAAATGCATTTTAGAAGGAGCTTCCAGTAACCCTTGAGTGAATTCTGATTCTTTGATTCTCTGTGAATTAAGAATAAAAGCCCATTGTAAGTAGATTGTAACTAATTGCTCCACTCAAAAAAGTAACATATTCCAGGGTTTCAGCTCCAAACTCCTAGGAGTCTGAGATTCAAATCAGGTTCTAAGGGAATCTGTATCCCTTTGGTCAGCTATAGATGTGGAATCAGGGGTATGCAAAATAAGAAGGCTAAAAAAATCCTAAACAACAACAACAAAAAAAATTAATACAATTCTTTACTTTCATACAGTCTTTTTTGACATATTTCTGGGAGAATGAAAACTTCTGTAACTTTCCCATGAGAAGCAGATTCACTGATAAGCAGATATAAATAGCTTTAATAACTATATATTACTAGATTATATTGCAAATATCAAAAGGTTGAAATGCCATAAATTCTCATAAAATTGACATGACACTTTTGTTTAGATGGTAAGCATCTTTATATTCAAACCTTCATAAAAAGGAAGACTGAAAACTAATTTTTTTTCTCTTTTAACTAGAAAGACATTCTTTTGCTTTCTAGTTAACCAGTATATTTAGAAAATTCTTGTGGATACACATTTTCAAAGTGGAGTTGGAAATATAAAGACTCCAAATGAGCATGTTTTATACATAAAATTCCTAGACAAAGCACGGCATCTACTGAAACTATCTAGCTGCAATACTGTATTTTTCATGTGAGAGATTATAGGTGCTTTTGAGAATTCTAAGACTAGATTTTACTTGCTAAATTGGAAGAGAGTCCTACCACCTATGATACATTTATTTCAAGTACCTCAGATGGGATTAAAAATTCTGGGGAAATTCTGAAAAAATTTCTTTCTATACAAAGAAATGTAAATTCAAATACAAATAAATGCTTTCTCCATGTTTATGACAAACCGCAGATTAAACAAAGCATCACTCATGAGGTATCAAAAATAAATAAAACTAGAATTATCCCAAGTTAATGCTGTATATTTGAGGTATGAGAAACTACTCTCAGCAGTAGGTTTGGCTATGCGGTTCATTGATGGGACAGCTCAATACTGAGGGATAAATGATTCGGTGAACAGGCACACCCTTAATTACACAAAATTGGATTACAGAAAGTTGACACTGAGATTTCATAGAGTCAGAGAAAAGGCAGAGCTCCTGGCTGCTGACTCCCAGGAGGCTGGAGTCACAGGAAGCAGCTGCCATGGCCTTGGCCTCAGCCACCCAACTCTGAGCACCACTGACAGTGGTATTTCCATGGGTTCACATCCACCCTGACCACCCTGCTCAGTAACAGTGATTGCCCTTTTCAA